TCTAACTCCTCACATGGTATTCTCCTTCCATGGTTCTGTGGCTTTGCTTTCTCATTTGAAGATTCTAGCCATTGGTTTAGGTACCACCCACACCAGTGTGACCTTATGTTAGCTAATGTCTGCAGAAACCCTGTTTCCTAATAAAGTCACAGTCTGAGCTCTGGGTGGACATATGTTTGGCAGGGGATACTATTCATCCCAGTACAGCCCCTATTAAAGGACTTTCTGCTATCCATGAACAGTCGGGAAGTTTCTTTAGCTACAGAAGGGCCTTTCTACCTACATATCAAGCTTCCCTATTAACTAATTCATACAGCCACTCAGCAAACATTTATTAAGTACCTGCTATTTGGTTGGCACTTTTGCAAGTACTGGAGATATAGCTGTGGAAAGGTGCACTTACATTCAATAGGGAGAGCACTCTAGGCCATTATGGTGTAAAAAGCTTGAGATCTGGAATCCTAAGATGTGGTTCGAGTCCCAGTTCTGCTTCTCACAGAAGTACTTACCTGGGGCATTTAGACAGCCTGTCTCAGCCTGTTTCCCCATTGACAGGAGGGAGATGCTGAGACCAGCACAGCTTAAAAGATGTTGGAAGGATCTCCCTGTGATAATGATCAAGGAAGCGCTCAGCACATCACTCTCTTCGTGTGTTGATGCGTCTCACAGATTCGCAGCCATAAAACAGGGATTATAGTAATACCTACTCCTCGAGTTATTGACTGCATCAAATACATTAATTCGTGTAATGCATTTCAAGCAGTACCTAGCATACAATGTGCACTCTCTCAATAAATGTCAGGTATTATGAAGGTACTTCAAAAAGTTTGTGGAAGAATGGAATTAAAGTATGAGTTTATGTTGGTACAAAAAAATGTTTAAATCCATGTGCAGTTTTTTGAATAATGTGCATTTCTGTGAACTTTTTGAAAGCCCTTCAAATTATCATCCTAATACACATTGCACATGAGGGAAATTAGGAAATTCTGCAGCTTGTCTTCTGTATTTCTTGGCATATTCCAGTCGCACTTATAAAGAGTTCAAAGGTAACATCACTAGAGATTTGGGTTGATGAGTGCTCACTGTTCCTGGGTATCGTGTCCTTGTAGAAAAATTTCAGCAAGGTAAAGGAATGCAAAGGCTCAGACATTGAGGAAGAACATTCTGGAAGATTCTCTGTGGGTCTCAGAACACATGACCAATTGCTGGGAATCCAAAAGGAACTGGGCTCTCCTCAACATTAAAGATAACCAAGACTCCAGGGACCAGCAGATGGCATAATGGTTATGTTGCTGGACTCCAACTTGGCCGACCGTGGCTCAAGTCCCAGACCTGGAGGCTTGAAACTCACTCCAGGCACCTGTGCATGCATGCCCCAAATCCCAAGAGGACATTGGAGGAGAAGGGATTACAGCATGGCCATTCCCCCGGGGGATGATTTCTTGCTTTCTGTCTCTCTGTCTCTCTCTTTCTCTCTGTCACTTCAGAAAGCATACATGCTCTATAACAAAAATCTATCCCCCAAAAAAGATAGCCAAGACCCAGCAATCAAATAACTAACTGCCTTATTATTATTATTATTATTATTATTATTTCTTTTTTGTTTTTAAGTTAACTTTTTAAACAGGTTATTAATTTATTTCTTCCCTGAGAGGAAGGGAGAGGGCACTCCCAACAGGGTCTTCATGCCATAATCCACCCCCAGCCTCAGCCAGCCAGAATCATGGGCATTTACAGAGGAGACCTCAGGGCACAAGCGTGGGACCTTCCCACATGGCCTCAGCATCACAGACTATCGCATTCACTGCCCACGCACTACCACAGCTGGCTTTACCTCCTCTTTCTACAGAGAAATCAGGCAGAGTCAAGAGAGGGAAGAAAGGAAGGAACGATACTGACGGTGTGTCCACTAATTTAGGCCTTCTCACAAGTTCGTTCCCTGTAGTCCCCACGCCAGTCCAATAAGGAGTGTGAGTGATCATCTCCACCGTGTAGGCGAGGATTCAGGCTCCACACTTGGATCAGACTGATACGGAAACTGGATCATGTGACTTAGTAGCCCAGGCTTCTCTGCACACGGATTATTGTTCTGCCCTGTATAGTGGAGATACGCTTGTTGACTGGTCACATTTTTTTTCTTTTTTTGAGAGGTTTTTGCTATAGGGCACGTGTGCTCATCAGAAAGAGAGAGAGAGACAGAGAGACAGAATGTGAAAAATTTCCCCCTGGGGTTATGGCCATGTCGCAATCCCTTCTTCTCCATTCTCCTCTCGGGATCTTGGGCACGCACGCACTCGCGCCTGGCGTGAGTTTAAGCCACCAGGTCCGGGACTCGAACTGTGGTCGACCACGTGGGAGTCCAGTGACATAGCCATTATGCCAACTGCTGGTCCAGACTGGTCACATTTAACCTGTGAATAACTGAAGGTCAGTAAGTTATCAGTTATTCCCCATTTGGGAACCCCTCCCCCCCCAGATCAGCTCAGGTCTTCCAAGTGGAAACTTAAAATGTGTATGGTACCCTTGCTTCTCTGGGCTCTTGCTGATGGTCTTGGCATCATATCCCAGACACCCTTTCCAGCTGTGCTGCTTCAGTTATTCATTGCTGAGTTACAGCCACTCCCAAGGTTAGTGGCTTAAAACAGCAGAGATTATTGTTTGCCACAGTTCCATGGCTAGGCAATCGTTCAGTTCTGCTGGTCTCACCTGGCTTTTTTCACACAGCTATGGTCTCCGAGAGGTGCTGGCCATTGCCTGGGCTGCCTCGGTCCTCCTCCTCCTCCTCCTCCAAGAGGTTAGATGGGGGTTTTTCATAGCACGGCTATCTCAGGACAGCATTCCGAGAGAGTGGAGAATAGGAATCACAGGACTTCATGGTCTCCAGAACTTGATCCTCGCTTCTACCACAGCCTGCTAGTCAGAGCAGGTCACAGCCAGCCCACATTGAAGGGCTGGAGAAGTGGTCTCTACTTGATGGGAGGAGCGATCAAGGTCAGATTGCAAAGAGGATGCATGTCAAAGGCAGTAACAGCTTCTTCCAGATTCTCTTCAGTTATCCCTGAGGCTCCAGCAGTGAGGGAATCACCTGCTATTCACACATAGACTTTTCTTTTTAAGAATTATTTTATTTAACTTTATTTATTTATTTTTGACTAGAGAAGACCAGAGTGAGAGACAGAGAAGGAAAGTGAAAAAGCAAGCCTCTAGGTCCGGGACTCGAACCACAGCCGGCCACGTGGGAGTCCAGCATCCTTAACCACCAAGCCACCTGCCAGCCCCACTTACATAGGCTTTTCAAGGCATCAGCCCCCTGTCTTGGCTTGCTTCCTCCCCTGAGTATGAGCATTTCCAGTGGTAATAGCGTCTAGTTCAATGACTAAGAAGATTTGAGGAAACGGACTTAAATCACATGTGAAGGTGCCTCATCCAGAGGAGCTCTGTAGTCACACTGTCGGCTGTTGGCAATGGTCACCATCACCCTCGTCACCATCATTGTCACCCCGAGGGCAGAGAGGAGGCAGGCACAGAGCTCTCTAATGCAGGTGCCATGGCTTCCTCTGCTGGCCCCCGGAGTATCCTCGGTCCCCCATAAACTCATCAGTGTTCCTCATTTAGCCCCATCCCCGTTGCCCCGTGCATGTTTTAGGGTAAATGGTGCAGATGGTGGTTCAGCATTGGAAGGGCAGTGCCAGCCCTGGGCTCTACTGACTTGGTGGTTGGAGGATTTCACTGATCCCCTGCATGCCCAGGACTCAAGGCCACCCACAGTCTGGCCTGTAGGAGGCGGTGGCTTGGTGACTCTGTCCCTATGAGGCAAGTGGCCACAGGATTTGAGGAAACAGTCACGAAGACTGGGGTATTGTGCAGCAAAGGACACTCAGTGCTGTGGGTGTTCAGAGGGGGACTGATGGCTTCTACTTGCATGGCTGGGCAGTGTATTGGGCCCTGAGGCACTGTCAAGTCTGTAGCAGCAGAGAAGGCAGGGGGTGGGGGCATCCCAGGCTCAGTGCAGGCAATGCTTGGGCCAAAAAGAGAAGAATGGGGACCTACAGATGGCGTAATGGTTCTGTTGCTAGACTCCCACATAGTCGATTGCAGTTTGAGTCCCAGGCCCAGCAGCTTAAAACTCACTCCAGGTGCATGTGTGGGCGTGCCTAAGGTATCGAGAGGAGAATGGAAGAGAAGGGATTGCCATGTGGCCTTCCTCCCTGGATGGTCATGTCCTTCTTTCTGTCTCTCTATCTCTCTGCTGAGCACACACACCCTATAGCAAAAATCTCTTAGGAAAAAATAAAAAGGGCAGAAGGTTGTGAAGGGTCAAGGAGTGGGAATGAGGCTGGAAAAGTGGGCTACTACTGGGCCACAGAGAACCCCAAAATACACACATATGAATGTCTCTGTTCTCAGGAACAGGAAGCACACAGGACTCCACATCATCTGTGACTCCAGAGTAGCTATTCCTTAGCCCTATGCCCTCCTCCTCACTCTTCCGTAACTTTGACCACAGTGAACATTAAATTCCCTTTATACGAAAGAAGGGCCGTGTTGCGTGTTGACGAGTGATCGCTGGCAGGCAGTGCTGAGCGAACAGTAGGGTGTCAGCACTTCCCGAAGGTCCCTAGTCTCCCACCCAGTGTTGGAGGCCAGGGTGTGGCAGACCAGGACAGAGCGGTCTGGTGTTTGCTCTTCTCTATGGACTGGGAGGACTGGTTTAGACTAGAATGGTAAATGGTGGTCTTCAAGGAGTGACTTCTGTCCTTAGTGTTCAAAGGAGCACCCACATCGCCCTTGCATTTCCCTAGGCTGCTAGCCCTCCACCCTGGTGCCTCCTGGACTGTGACCATGTGGGGTCTGTCTCCTGACAGTGCTGAGCGGAGCACTTTGCACATTGTAAGCTCTGAATGCCTCTTAGCATGGATGGCTCAATGACCTGCTGGTGGCCAGGTGGGAATGGTCTAGACACATTCTGAGGTCTTCTTCCTCTTGTGTCCCCTCTGCAGCTGGAGCTCTCAAACACCGCAGTCCTGCACCAGATGAGGCGGGACCAGGTGACAGACACCTGCCGAGCCAACAGCGCAATGAGCCGCAAGCGGCGGGTGCTGACCCCCAACGACCTGAAGCACTTGGTGGTGGACGAGGACCACGAGCTCATTTACTGCTACGTGCCCAAGGTGGCCTGTACCAACTGGAAGCGGCTCATGATGGTCCTGACGGGGCGCGGGAAATACAGCGACCCCATGGAGATCCCGGCGAATGAGGCCCATGTCTCGGCCAACCTGAAGACACTGAACCAGTACAGCATCCCAGAGATCAACCACCGCTTGAAAAGCTACATGAAGTTCCTGTTTGTGCGGGAGCCCTTCGAGAGGCTGGTGTCGGCCTACCGCAACAAGTTCACCCAGAAGTACAACACCTCCTTCCACAAGCGATACGGCACCAAGATCATCAAGCGCCAGCGCAAGAACGCCACCCAGGAGGCCCTGCGCAAAGGGGACGATGTCAAGTTCGAGGAGTTCGTGGCCTATCTCATCGACCCCCACACCCAGCGGGAGGAGCCGTTCAACGAACACTGGCAGACCGTCTACTCCCTCTGCCACCCCTGCCACATCCACTACGACCTCGTGGGCAAGTACGAGACACTGGAAGAGGATTCTAATTACGTCCTGCAGCTGGCAGGAGTGGGCAGCTACCTGAAGTTCCCCACCTATGCCAAGTCTACGAGAACTACTGATGAAATGACCACAGAATTCTTCCAGAACATCAGCTCAGAGCACCAAACGCAGCTGTACGAAGTCTACAAACTCGATTTTTTAATGTTCAATTACTCAGTGCCAAGCTACCTGAAATTGGAATAAAGGGGATGGGGAGAGGGAGAGAATCATGCTTTTTAATTTAAGATTTTTATTTGTCAAAAGAATTATATGGATATTGGGTTATTTTGTAAATTAATATTTCTTCGGGGGTGATGCTGCGAGCAGCATAGTGAGAATTATTTAAAATCCTTGGTGGGGAAGGACAGCTGTCTTTGCAGGGGAATGGGATGGGTTGTCCTTGTCTTTGAAGTGAATACTGCAACACTGTTTCAAAGGTTTCCTTGTGTTCTGGTGACTTCCATGAACTGCGTATTCCATAAATTCTAGTTAATATTATTTATAGTTATTTAACATCGTCTCTGTATAGATCTCTTTTTGTGGCAGCAAAATTCTAATGTCTTTCCAGAACAAATCTATGTTTCATGCTTTGCTCGCTACAGCTCATTTGGGGGCATGAATGTTCTTACTCTCCTCTCATGGAGTTGTGCGATGACAGCCATTGTGATGTGTACCGATGCCACCATTCTTGAAATTATGCTAAAAATAAGTAGGCTGCTGTCGCACTTAGAAAGCATCTTTGCGAGGGACTAATTCCAAACCAATTTCAATCGACCTGAAAGTCCCTTGCACTAAAGAAATGTGATTTTTTTTAAACACAAGGAGAGAGCTGATTATAGCAATTTTGGTCACCAGAATTAGCAGTCTGATAGAATAGGCTTTTTTTTTACAGAATTTTTTAACTGGCAGTGCCAGTTGTGGTGAAGGGGACGTGGCTATTGCTTTATAGTCAACAAATATTTATTGAGCATCTGCTATACCGTAGGCCCCATAAAGCATTGAACAAACCCAATAGTCTTGCCCTCGAGAAGCTTTCCACAGACACAGAGCATCCAGCTCGACAGTGAGCGAAGCCCTGGTATTCATGGACTTTATGTGAGGTTGGGACTATTCATGAGTGATCCCAGAAGGTCCCCTAAAAATTTGCATTTTTTTATGGTCCAAATTTGAAAACTATATGCTTGAGGCAGGCCACTTAACTTATGAGAGTCCTGAGTTCACTGCCTAACACCAGAGATGGCAGAAATGTTTCCTGTCATGTGCCCACTCCAATTTATTGGCAGTGTCTGCCTCTGAGCCGTAGAATGGATTCCTTAGGCACAGTATGGAAGAGTGCTGTGATTGATTAGTGATGTCTGCCTTGGCAAGAGATGGGGAATGCCCACGTGCCTCCTACTATCACCTCCAGCCCAATATCCACCTCCCAATGAGGAAATGTTGTTTTTCTCCTGTTTGCCCCATTAAATAGTGCAAGGCCATGGTGGGACTCACACTTGGGAATTTGTAATGGCGTGGTGTTTATACCCCTCGTGAAGTTCAAAGGTGGGCTCTCCAGGCACATGCGTGCACACATACACCCTCCCACATCCTCCAGGGGCTCCAAGGCATCAGCACCTTTGTGATAGCCATTCATGAGCAGCAAGGACACCTCCCAGATCTTTTCCTGGGAGGCTGGAAACTTCCCATTTCCTGTTCCTTGCTGATCAACACCTACACACACTTCTCATTTCCAGCCATTTGCAATGCATCTTGGTTGACGTTTGAGCCACATCTCTTACAGCTAGTGAATGAATTGGTAGCAGATACTGTATATAATAATAATAATAATATAGTTCTAATAATAGGGGAGGTGGGGAGGGGGTGTGGGTAAGTTTTGCTTTTTGTTTTGTTCTCGATGCAATATATAGTGAAGGGGGTGAGAATATTCTAAACAGACAAAAAATGAATAATTTATTCACAGAAACTATTAAAATTGTATCATAAAGCTCACAGCGAGCTCAGTGAGCAGCAGCTGCAACATCTCACCGAAGAAATTATTTTATTTAAAGGGAGTGAGATGGACACCAGAGTGGGTGGCTGAAGCTATTTATAAAATGTCATGTACTTTCTTCCAAACTCTGTCCCCTTTGTGAAGGGCACAGCAACTGTATCCTTGATGGATAGAGATTTATGCAATGTGTTTTACCAAGTAGAGTGCCAGACCTTGGCTGTCCCTGGAATTGAGGCTCTGGACCTCATTTCCACACAGGGAAACACTGTTCTCAGAAATAGGGCTTCTGCTAATCAAACAGATTGTCCAGCATTGCCTAAGATGTGTTCTACAGAACTTGGGTTCTAGGAGGCAAGTGTGCATGATGCAAAGATAAGGGCTTGTGGTCATACATCATTGGAAACCAAATTAAGTCAGTTTCCTCCCTGTAGGACTTTTCAGAGCCTTGAATGTGTGCTGTGCACTGTGAATCCTCAAAGCATCACGGACTCAGAAGGGTTTTCTGAAGTTCCATGACCCGGATACTCTCATTGTGCAGATCATCTCACAGAGCTGGTGTTCTACAGAACATACCTTGGTTAGATTGATTTAGCACGTCTGAGGTCTCCAAGGATAAAAACGGCCTCCCCAGTCCCCTCCAAACAAATCAAAGCGAACAGAAAGCCAGCACCACAGTTCCATCTGGTTTCTAGCAACAGTGGTACTTGATCCGTGAATTAAACTCGGACTTAAGTGCAGTGGTTCTTCTAATCCTGGATACTGCCACAGAGCACCATTCCAGCCCTCCCCATGGATCGGAAGGAAGTCTTGGGTGGTGTGGACAGAAAGCAGGGAGGACGGGGAGTTGTGCAGACGGCCCCGGAGCGCCTCCCTACTCCTCAAGCCTTAAAGGTTGCTCAGTGGGGGCAGACGATCTCTTGACGAGTGCTACTTCAGTTATATCCCTTAGAATTGTTCACTCTGTGCTTTTTGGTTTTTAGGAAGAAATACGTGTAGACTTGCCCAGTTGTGCGTGTCTGTGTTCATCTCTGATGGGTTGTGAGAGCTCACTCAGCCTTGTGTGCAGCCAGCCACCTTTCAACTGGCTTCTCTCTCTTAAGTGAGAAAGATTGTCCTTCAGGGGATAATGCATCCATATATTTCTGAAAAGAGAGACTTTCTCTCTCTCTCTCTCTCCTCGTGTTTTGTTTGTTATTCACATTTGATTTTCTAATGCCATAGAACTTTTTAAAAAAATGGATTCAACTGTTTTGCAGAGTGTAGAAAGTATTCTGTGTCCTTGGTTAAAGAAATCCATCAGTGAAGCGGGCCTGGAAGACGAAAGGCAGTGTTCTGTAAAAAGCAGCGTTTGGGATGCGTTCTCTTGCATGCGTAGCTGGAGAAAAGTATAGGCAGTATCCCATCTCTGAGCCACTTTTCAAAGGTGCTGCTGTGTTTTAAAAACCAGGTACAGTCAGGGTAGTATTTACCAGGACGTTCCTGCTTACTCTCTCCCTTTGGTTGGAAAACTCTAGATTATCAGCCCCAGGGTTTGACTCCTGCAGCTCCTCCTCCCCCTGCCCTCCCCAGCTGGTCTGGGGAAAAGGAATTCTGCTGACCTGCGGGGTCTCAGGGGTCTCAGAGAGGACTTTCCCTGTCGCTCTTCACCAGGTGAGCTTTGCCCTCCTGCTGTTCGGGATCTAAAGGCCACAGGAGAGCCACGGGCAGTGACAATGCCATTGGAGCAGTCCTCCTGCTGGTAAAGACATGGAAGGGCAAAATTCTAGTCCACACTACCAGAAAGTTCCAGAACAGACTCCAAGTGTGTGGGTCCATATCTGGCACACTCAGCCAGTGAGATCCAGACTAGTACTGAGATAGTGACTGTAGAAGTCGCTATTCTAGCCTGTCCAGAAGCAGAGGGACTATGCTAGCCACACCATTCTGTGCTATCCTGGTGACCAGACCCCTTCTTTGCCTACCAGTACGTCAGCAGGACTGACCACATCGCTTCCCCCCGTTCCCACCACCAGCATCCCCCGGCTTTTTCTCATCACCATCCAGTGGACTCTATCAACAGGCAACAGAACCTTCTAGAACCAGCTTGACCCTTGGCCATTAACCAGCAAATCTCATTCTGCTACTCTTTGTTAGGTACAGAGGGGGCTACCCATACTGTTATGAGCATGTCAGTATGGCATATGAACATATAATTGAACATCTTTGTGGAATGTGATTTTTTTTTACATATTTGTATGCAGTAGAGGGCCTGTTGTAGAAAACTCTCCCTGTATCTTACTGTACTGTTAAAGAAAGCTGAATTCCACATTGCCAACAAAAGCGTGAAATGTTCATGAACCTTCCTCCAGGAAAAGCCATTCAAGCCTGATTATTTTTCTAAGTAACTTCAATTAAATTGAAGGTTAAAAAAAAAAAAAAAACTTTCTGTGTATGGTTTGTTCATGGCTCATTAACAAAAGAATGTAGGGGTGGGGTGGGCCTTGTCCCTGGGCATGTGGGAGGCCCCGTTCGTGTGAATCCGAGGGTGGAAATGCGGACTGGCAGACGGTCACGGAAAAGACCACCGTAGAGTCATACCCCTTCTGTTTATTGGATGAATGGGGGATTTTCTTCATTCCATTTTTTCTATAAACTCTTTGTAGAGTGATATGTTAGAAAGCCTGCTGTGATCATGTAGTCCTACCACTTGGGCAAAAAATAAGGCGAGGACTCCCCATGGTGACCAGGCTTTGGTGACGGAACCAATATTCGAACCTAGCTGTGTGCCTTCAGAGTCCCATGCCGATGGCTCCATGCTAAGAGGTTGCACTTCGAGCCCCAAGTTTCCAATTCCACATCTGCTGCTTTTCTGATGCCCCTTACAACTTCCTTCAGATCCACGGATGGACACCTTTTAGCTTTATTGATAAAAATGATGTATTTCTATTTTTCTTACAATGAAATCATGCTCAACATTGTTTTTCTATTTTACTGTATTCTGAATTTTAAAATGTACTAACAATACAGGAGTCAGCAGATGGTGTGCAGGTTAAGGTGCTGGATCCCATGTGGCTGTGAGGTTCTAGTCCTAGACCCGGTGGCTTGAAAATCACACCAGGCATGTGTGCATGCGCATCCCCAAAATCCCAAGAAGAGAATCGAGAAGGGATTGCAATGTGGCCATCCCCCCGGGGGGTGATTTCTCTCCCCCCCCCACCTCTTACAAGTACATGCACCCTAAAACAAACAAAAGAAAAAAAGAAACTTTAATAAAATTAGAAACACATTTTAATATGAAGATACTGAGAAAGTAT